GATGGCTGCAAGCCTCATCCTGTACAGCAGGGCTTTGGACCAAGGGCATGTGTCGTGGCCAAGCCTCTCAGCCCCAGGACACGTCCCTTCTGGACTCATCCAGTCACATCCCTTAGACACTGCCTGATCCCTCATGCTCAGATCCTGTGGGGACGGGCACTGCGGGACACGTGTGCTAGGCAGGTGGACAGGGAGGGAATCAGCTCTTTTTCAAACCTCTTTGTGATTGTTTGAGCCTCATGGATACCTTCTTGGACCCAGCTCCAAATCTATTTTCCTGTATTGAGAGCCATTCCCCCCCAAAAAAAGTGTTCCAGGGAAGACAAGACCACAGAGCTGGGCTCAAACCTCTTTGTGATTGTTTGAGCCTCATGGATACCTTCTTGGACCCAGCTCCAAATCTATTTTCCTGTATTGAGAGCCATTCCCCCCCAAAAAAAGTGTTCCAGGGAAGACAAGACCACAGAGCTGGGCTCTTTGTGAGTTCAGATCAATGACAGGAATAAGCAAAAAGCAAAAACAATGTGAGAAATGTAGGAAGCAACTCGGGCAAATGTAGGGCAAACGGGGAGGAAGAAAAGAGAAGGCGGCACCTGCTTTGTCGCTCACGTGGGCTGGCTGCAATAGCGCTCGGAGATGTCCGGAGATGCAGAAGGGAAGCAGGGAGGCAGCAGGTGGTGAAGCAGAGGAGCTGGAAGGAGAAATGGGGGTAACGCTCACTCGAGGGACGACGGTTCTCTTTCCTCCTCCAGGCAGCTCTCTCCAGTGTGAAGTTTGTGATGGGTTTGAGCAAGACTGTTCTGGCTACATGGAGACCTGTGATCCTGACCAAGATACCTGTGGTATTATCAAAAGTGAAGAGATTTTCGGTAGGTGAAAGGTACTATAAATCAGCTTGTGATGAAGAGCTCGAGGTACAGTAACTAACCTTGCCAGTGTTTCCTGTCCACTTCCCACACCTGCAGGGGAAGAGCACACAGGAGGCCCAAATATCCAGTTCACTGCCCAATGCACCTCTTTGAGCACTTGCTGGGCACCTCGGCTGTTAGCTGGGCAGGACCGTGCATCTCTGCATCCGGCAGCACCTTTGTGCTCCAGGGTCCCTGTGCTGGGCTCCTGGACGGGAACACGTTGAATGGCCAAGACTCAGCCTAACCAAGGCAGCATCGTCTGGCCAGCTACATGCCGCTCCGGGGAGGAGCCGGGTACAGAAAGATGGATGGATGGAGAGAGAGAATTACTGACCTGGGTAAAGACATGGAGAAGCTCCTGAGAGGAGATGAAGTTAGCTCTGCAGGTTTTGGGTAGGCAAAGAAATGTTGAGCTATGGCTTGAGTACTCCTAAATACATCGTGTCCCTGGTGTCTCAGACATGATGGTGCCACCTCACTTTCCCATAGGGAAACCCCCATGTCCCTCAGCATGTCCTTCAGGATGAGTCCAGGATCTCCCGACTCTGTCATGATTGGTATATAATGTGGGGCAAGGTCATGCAGCACAAGGGCAGCAAAGAAGCCAGTGCAGGGAGGAAAGTCCATTGGGAACGAGTGTGGTTCGTTAACTCTATTCTGTATCCCTCTTCATTCCAGGTGGAGTGAAGATCCCGTTGAACTGGAAGTCCTGTGTCACATCCAACGTGTGTCGCAACGGTCATTTTAGCTTTTTTTTGGAGCAGGGAATAAGACTCAGAAGGAGTATCGCCTGCTGCACCGGGGAGGCCTGTCGAACAGTATCTGTGCAGTGTATGTCTCTCACCGCCCCTCTGCCGCTCCCCACCCAGCCATCACAAGCAGCTCATGCTGGGGTCTCAGTGATAAGTCCTGCTTTGTCCTCAGCTGGCACTAGCCTTTGGGGTTTATAGTATGATAGAAAATGAGGGTTGAAGGGACCTGAGGAAGTCACATCTAGTCCAACCCCCTGCTCCAAGCAGGACCGGCCCCAACTACATCATCCCAACCATGACTTGTCTACCCAAGTATTCAAACCTCGCAGAGATTCAGATTGCACCACCTTTCTGGGTAACCTGGTCCAGTGCCTCACCACCCTCCTAGTAAGAAAGTTTTTCCTACTGTCTAACCTCAACTTCCCTTGTTGCAAGGTGAGCCCATTGCTCCTTGTCCTGCCATCTGCCCCCTCTGAGACCAGTCCAGCTCCATCCTCTTTGCAGCCCCCCTGCAGGGACCTGAAGGCTGCTATTCAATCCTTCCTCAGTCTCCTCTTCTGCAGACTAAGTCAGTCCAGTTCCCTCAGCCTCACCTCACCAGTCATGTTCCCGTGCACCCAAACCATTTTCATTGGCCTCTGCTGGACTCTATCCAATGTGTCCACATCCTTTCTATACTGGGGGGCCCACAACTGGACACAGGACTCCAGATGTGGCCTCCCTAGTGCTTCATAGAGGGGAAGGTTCACTGCCCTCCATCTGCTGGCAGCGCTCCTACCAATGCAGCCCAGGAAGCCGGTAGCCTTCTTTGCAGTAAGAGAGAGCCTGGCAGGGACAGCCCTATCGCCCAGCAAGCGGGACAGGTGACGTGTGGGGGGAGCTGTCAGTGGCAGGTCTCACTTGCCCTGCTGGAGGTGGTCCTGAGCTCCTGAGAAGCGTTGCCTTCCCTGCAGGGGACCTTGCACTGGGTAAGACCCCACGGGCCTGGGGCTGGGAGGCAAAATGCAGAGGCGTGGAGACTCCCACTGAGCAGAGAAAGATTTCAGGGCATCACACAGGAGCCCAGGGGACACTGGACCGTGCTGCTCATGCACGTCCGGAGCTACAGCTGTGCCCCTGCCAGCAAGGTGGAGAGGCTGACAGGGGAGGAGATCTCGAATGCACACATTTCCCTTCTAACCTTGTCAATCCCGACTGTGATCTGCTTGTTCCCAGTGCCACCAGTGAACACCACTCGCAATGGCTCCAGCGTGCTTCAGCATTGGATATTATGACTGTGGCAACGACACTGTATATTGTACCGGGTCTGAGACCTACTGCTTTGATTTTGCAGGGGTATTTCACGTGGGTAAGTTTTATTTATTCTGTGCTGTCATCTTTTGTTTAAGCTTATGAATCCCATTGCAAAAAATGCATCCAAGAGAAATAAAAGGAGACTACTATAAAGGAAGTAGAGCTGAGGACTATTAAATAAAAGGAAAAGGGGAACATGTCTAAGGCCATGGGTGGCAGGGACCTGGTTGAAAAAACCTCCTCATCTGACATCAGGGGTGTACTTGGTAGCTGTGTTGGTCTGAGATGAAAGGACATAGAAAAAACTAGAACTGTTGGTTCCAAAATGATACCTTTTATTAGACCAACTGGAAAATGGCAAGAAAAGGACAATATTCTTGCCATTTTCCAGTTGATCTAATAAATGGTATCATTTTGGAACCAACAGTTCTAGTTTTTTCTATGTCCTAATCTGACATGGCTTTTTTTCCAGTGTTAAAGCACCCGGAGGAAAACCATGCAGCCAGGGCCAGCTCTTGTGCTGGGTTGTCCACAGGCTGCCCCCAGCTGTGACCTCCACTCTGGGAAAGCAGATTGGTGGTTATAAGAAAGTGTGTGTGTTGATTGTAGCAGATTTGCTTCCTGCTGGAGGGGACGAGAGAGCCGGGGAAGCTGGAGATCTGAGTGTGACTCAGTTAAGATAATGAAGAAATCCACCTCCCTAATCCCAGTCCCATCGTCCGCCCCGCACCCTCCCTAGCCTTCGCACTTCATGGAAATGAAAGTCAATTCGTCCCCTCTTTAAATGACACAAACTCTCGAGATCGTGTCAGGGGAAAAGGCCAGAGAGGAGTTTACGGTGTCTTAGTGCAGGACCTGATGTGCGTCCCGGCGCTGGCGTCGGGTGTTGAATGCTGAGAGGAGGAGGGAGCGGCTGTGAGGCCTAGGAGGGGGTTGTTGCAGGGACCGCTAAGACATGCCGTGATGCTCAGTGTGTGTTTCTTCTGCCCTGCAGGGAAACTCAGTGTGAAAACCGCAATGAAAGGCTGCACCTCTGTCTCTGAGTGCAAAGTGCCACTAGATGAGATCCAGGAACTCCTAGGCTTCTATATGGTTTTCAAGAGGCTCGAATGCAAACCAGCCTCTCCTGCAGCCAGCAAAGCTTCCAGATGGACCCTGCCACACACCCTCTCTCCTCCCATCATGGCCGGGCTCATCTTGGTGAAGACGATGTCCTGATGTTCCCGAGGGCCATGAAATGCAAGGTCTGATGAGGATCCCTCTGCCTCCTCGCTTGTGTGTGACACTTCCTGCTACGGCTTCTCCCCGCAGGTGTATTTTTTCCCCCAGGCCTGGACGCAAGACATGGACATGATGTGAAAGAGGATTGAACCCACAACACATCACCCTACTGTATTCCCATTTATTAAAAACTGGGGTAGATTATTCCGAGAGAAATCATGAGTAAACATGTTCTCCTCTCTTAATCTTGATATTCTTACGTTGGTGTATGAAAGTCACTTAAGCTAGACCAGCATTGAAGAGTCATGTCCATCTTAGCATCTGGCATGTGCTTAATTTGTCAGGTTTTCTGATGTATTCTGCAGCTCTTTCTCCCAGGCTGGGGTGCAGGGACACACTGTTTAATACCGCTGTGCAGTACAAGCAGCAGGAAGAGGAGATCTTGGGACAACTCTAGTTTCTAGCTGCATAAAACAGCCTCAGAAAGACCTTTCAGTTCTGTTATGCTGTACCAGACACTGCTGGGGGCTAAAAGGGCCAGGACCAAACCCTTTGAGGTTCCTTATCAGAAAACTTAAGGAGAAGTAGGGCTGAAAAGGACCTGTAGTCCAAGCCCTGCTCGAGGCAAGATCCGCCCTGTGTGAAGCACCCCAGACAGGCAGGTGCTTGCCTAAAGGCTTCCCAGGATGCAGATCCCACAACCCCTTTCACATTATCTTTCCCAAAGCTCCACCAGGCTCATAGCCAGCACGTTCTTCCTCATCACCAGCCTCGATTTCCCTTGCTGCAATTTGAGACCATCATTCCTTGTACTATCCAAGAAGGAACAGTTTATTGCCATCCTCCTTATAACTACGCTTCAGGTATATGCAAACTATGATCAAATCCCCGCTCAATCTTTACTTCTCCAGACTAAAATGTCCCAGTTCTTCCAAGCTCTTCTCATAAGGGCTCAGCTCTGGGACTCCTTCCTTGGAGGCTCACCCCAGCCGAGCCTGTACGTTTTTGGGAAGCACTGCAAGACCTTCCTATTGGGGCAGGCATTTAGCAAGCAAAGCTAGGCCAAGGTACTGTTTACTCAATCTGGTTCATTTTGATATACTAGTGGCCCTTTAAGTTGTTCTATTCCCTTTTTTGGGGAAGGGCGGCATATGCATTGCATAAATAAGTGAACAATAAATCAAGTTTTCTAGAGACCTTGACATTTTTGTTGCTCTTTGACTCTTTCTAATCTGTCCATGTCCTTATAGATTCAGAGATTCATAGACTGTAGAGTCAGAAGGGAACACAATGGCATCAAGCCGCTTCTTAACGATCCCCAGGGTAGGAGACAGCACCACTTCCCTTGGAAGTTGGTTCCAGATCCTAGCCGCCCTGACTGTGAAGTTGTGCCTTCTAATGTCTAATCTACACCTACTCTCCAACAACTTGTGGCCATTATTCCTTGCCACCCGGGGGGGCACTTGGGGGAACAAGGTCTCTCCCAAACCCTGCTGGTCCCCACTAGTGAGTTTATAGACAGTCACAAGGTCCCCCCTCAGCCTTCTCTTGTGAAGGCTGAACAGGTTCAGGTCCTGTAGCCTCTCATTGTAGGGTCTGCCCTGCTGTCCCCAGATCATGCAGCTGGCCTCCTCTGGACCCTCTCCATGTTGTCCACATCCCTCCTGAAGTGTGGTGCCCACAACTGGACGCAGTACTCCAACTGCGGCCTGACCAGCACCGCATAGAGGGGGAGGATCACCTCCTTGGCCCTGCTCAAGATGCACCTGTGGATGCACGATAGGGTCCGGTTAGCCTTACTGACTGTGACCTCGCATTGTCAGCCCATGTTCATCTTGGAGTCAATGATGACTGCAAGATCTCTTTCTGCCTCCGTGCTCTCAAGAAGGGAGTTTCCCAACTTATAAGTGTGCTGCTGGTTACTACTGCCCACGTGCAGCACCCTGCACTTGTCAGTATTGAAACCCATCCTATTTTCATTTGCCCACCCCTGTAACCTTTCCAGGTCCTGCTGTAATCTGTTCTTCCCTACTAGCGTGCCCACCTCACCCCAAATGTTGGTATCATCAGCAAATTTAAACAGGTAGCTTTTCACCCCATTGTCTAAATCGCTGATAAAGAAATTGAACAATGCAGACCCAAGGACCGAGCCCTGGGAGACCCCACCACCCACTCCCCCCCCAGGTCGAATATGACCAGTCCACCACCACCCTCTGAGTATGAGCCTTCAGCCAATTCGCAATCCATCTGACTGTGTAGGCATCAATGCCACAATCACCTAGTTTTTTTTTATGAGAATGGGGTGAGAGTCGGTGTCAAAGGCCTTGCTGAAGTCCAGAAAGACTACATCCCCCGCGACACCTGCGTCCAAGGCTTTTGTGACCTGGGCATAGGCAATAAGGTTGGTCTGACAGGACCTGCCTCTAATGAACCTATGCTGGTTGCCCCTGAGCATCATCCCTGCTGCTGGCCCATGACAGATGTGCTCCTTGATGATCTTCTCAAAGAGTTTCCCCAGGATTGAAGTAAGACTAATGGGCCTATAGTTGACCGGGTCCTCCCTCCTCTCTTTTTTGAAGATGTGGACCACATTGGTTTTCTTCCAGTCATCTGGCACCTGGCCAGAGCACCATGAGTGCTCATAAAGCCATGCCAGGGGCCCTGCAACAACCCCTGCCAATTCCCTCAGCTCCCTGGCATGGAGAGCACCTGGACCTCCTGATCTGAGTCATTTCTGTGTATCTTGTTTTAAAATCTATATATGGTAAAAATGTAAGCTTGATATATGATTGGTGCCGGTGACAAAAAAACTGCAAATGCAGAAGTATAAAAAGAGAAAGTGTGAACATGTGCGTGTGCAAGCATGCTGTAGGAGACAGAGGCAGCTGCTGTGTTTCCTGCCTCTGGAAATTGGACCAGAAAACACCAAGGAAGATCAAGCATCCAGCAAGGAGACCGAGGTTCAGCTGACCAAAGACCAGTGCTGTGCAGCAATTATCTCGCCTGTCAGGTCGGATATGTATATATATTCTTCAAGGAAGTCTGTACACAGTCTGGGGGTTACAAATAAAGCTTTCTTGATACCGGATTGGAGGAGTTGCTGTGTGGGACCCCAAGGTGCCGCAATAAAGAAGTGGTGGAAGTCACACTTTCCAGGGTCAAGGATGCGCAGTGTCTCTCTCTACTGTCTCTGCATTGGGATCCCAGCCGGGACACAGGGACGCTGCCAGGGCTGTGCCTGCACCAGTGGTGTTGGGGCCAAATGAAGCAAGGATCATGGTCCAGGCCCCCTTCATGTCCCAAACAGGAGCACCTGGCTCACGACTGGTGGGAGATGCCTGCCCGGAGCAGCAGAACCCTTGGTCCGGGGTGCTGTTATGCAGGACATGGGCCGACCGGCCCCAGAGGGGATCCAGGGGACCTGGGTTTTTTTCTGCCTTGAGTGAAGGGGTCTCCTCTGCCCTTTACAGGCAGGTTCAGGGCTCCGTGGCAGGCCGGGAGCAGGAGGAGTGACTTGCACGGGAGGAAGAGCTCACGACCGGCTGCATCTTATCAGGAAACTTGTGGAACAAAGCCCCAGAGACTTGCAGGGAAGTGGGGACTTCCCAGTGCCAGTTGGCATGATGCACGATCATTTTTTTCTCACTTCCTCAAAACAGCACTTGCGGTGTCCTCTGAGAGCAGCCGTTTTGGGCAGAGTTGTTCTGCATCCACCAAGAAGTCAAGAGACCTGTGTGCAGTGCCTCCGGCTCTCTCCTCCGCACCATGAAAGCACCCGTCATCCTCTACGTCCTCTTGGCTTTCCTAGACCAAGGTGAGTCTCCTGGCACCGAGGCTGCATGACAGGGGAGAGGACTAGCCCTGGGACGGCTCCAAAAGTTCGCCGGGAGGGGAGTGCGGGTGCCGAGACAGGGATGCGACCAGGAAGGTGGGTGGGAGGAGAAGGCAGCTGGAGTTTCCCACTGAAAGGTTATATCTGCAAGGGGTGACTCTGGTCCCCTGCCCAGGATGGAGCTAGTGAAGCGCTGGGCTGCTGCGAGGAGAAGCAGGGAGTCCTCCCATCCCGGGCCCTCGCACCCAGAGCAGCTGGCGAGAGGCCCTGACCCTTTTGTGCCGCGCTGAGCCCAGCAGTGGCGGCGCCTGTTCCCACTCCCTGCAGCAGTCAGGGCCGTGCCTCCCTTTGCCTTTCTACCCCGGCTGCTCCTCAGATCAGGGCACAGGCACGATCCCAGGCACCAACCCGCGGCGGTGTGGGGAGATCTCAGCAGCCGGAAGGAATTTGCTTTCCAGATCTCCTCAAAGTAGCAAAGATGTTTTCATGCCCAGCTTCCCAGCTGCAGATATAGGAAGACCCTGGTACACACAGATAAGACTTTTATGCCCAAATTCCTATCTCCAGAAATACATAGATTTATAGATGTTGGGGTCAGAAGGGACCTCAACAGATCATCTAGTCCAACTACCTGCCTTGGCAGAAAAGAGGGCTGGGGTCAGATGATCCCAGCCAGACATCTATCCAGCCTTGTCTTAAAGGCCCCCAAAATAGGGGAGAGCACCTACACACAGATAAGACTTTTATGCCCAAATTCCTATCTCCAGAAATACATAGATTTATAGATGTTGGGGTCAGAAGGGACCTCAACAGATCATCTAGTCCAACTACCTGCCTTGGCAGAAAAGAGGGCTGGGGTCAGATGATCCCAGCCAGACATCTATCCAGCCTTGTCTTAAAGGCCCCCAAAATAGGGGAGAGCACCACCTCCCTTAGATGCCTATTCCAAATTTTGGGCACCCTTACCATGAAGTAAGGAAGAATAGGAAGACCCTGGCACACATTGCCCACAGGAGGGTGATGGTGGGGGCAGCGATCTGGTGCCTGGGCACCAAGGGGCCAGATGATGCAAGGCAATGCCCACAGCATCTCATTCTCCTGTTCTCCCTTCTTCATGCCCCTTCCCTGGAAACAGCCCCTCACCCCAGCTTCCCTCGCCCCAGCTGTTGCACCCGTCCCCCATGCCCGATCGCCACCCTGACTCCAGCCCCCATCCAGCTCCTGCCCCTCCAGCCCCTTCTCAGCCCCTTCACTCAGGACGGTCTGGGATGTGCCACGTACTGCAGGACGGGTCCTGATGGCTGCAAGCCTCATCCTGTACAGCAGGGCTTTGGACCAAGGGCGTGCGTCGTGGCCAAGCCTCTCAGCCCCAGGACACGTGCCTTCTGGGCTTGGACACTGCCTAATTCCTCATGTTCAGATCCTGTGGGGACGGGCACTGGGGGACAGGTGTGCTAGGCAGGTGGACAGGGAGGGAATCGGCTCTTTTTGGCCTCTCTTTGTGTCCGTTTGAGCCTCATCTACCTTTTTGGACCCAGCTCCAAATCCATTTCCCTGTATTTACAGCAATGCCTGAACAAAAAAGTGCTCCAGAGAAGACAAGACCACAGAGCTGGGCTCTTTGTGAGTTCAGATCAATGACAGAATAAGGAAATAGCAAATAAAATGTGAAAAATGTAGGAAGCAACTGAGGCAAATGTAGGGGTAAAAGGGGAAGAAGAAAAGAGAAGGCAGCACCTGCTTTGTCGCTCACGTGGGCTGGCTGCAAGAGCGCTCGGAGATGTCCGGAGATGCAGAAGGGAAGCAGGGAGGCAGCAGGTGGTGAAGCAGAGGAGCTGGAAGGAGAAATGGGGGTAACGCTCACTCGAGGGATGATGGTTCTCTTTCCTCCTCCAGGCAGCTCTCTCCAGTGTGAAGTTTGCGATGGGTTTGAGCAAGACTGTTCTGGCCCCATGCAGACCTGTGATCCTGACCAAGATACCTGCGGTATTATCAAAGGTGAAGAGATATACGGTAGGTGATAGGTAATATAAATCATGTGATGAAGAGCTCGAGGTGCAGTTACTAACCCTGCCAGTGTTTCCTGCCCCATTCTCACACCTGCAGGGGAAGAGCACACAGGAGGCCCAAATATCCAGTTCACTGCCCAATGCACCTATTTGAGCACTTTGCTCAACACCTCTGCTGTTAGCTGGGCAGGAGCGTGCATCTCTGCATCCAGCAGCACCTTTGTGCTCCAGGGTCCCTGCACTGCGAACCTGGACGAGAACACGTTGAATGGCCAAGACTCAGCCTAACTAAGCCAGCATCGTCTGGCCAGCTACATGCCGCTCTGGGGAGGAGCTGGGTACAGAAAGATGGATGGACAGAGAGAGACAATTACTGAACTTGCTGAAGACATGGACAGGCTCCTGAGAGGAGATTAACTGAGCATTGCTTGCCTACAGCAGACAAATAAATGTTGAGCTGGGGCTTGAGTGCTCCTAAATACATCATGTCCCTGGTGTCTCAGACATGATGGTGCCACCTCACTTTCCCATAGGGAAACCCCCGTGTCTCTCAACACGTCCTTCAGGACGAGTCCAGGATCTCCCAACCCTGTCATGATTGGTATATAATGTGGGGCAAGGTCGTGCCATACCAGGGCAGCAAAGAAGCCAGTGCAGGGAGGAAAGTCCATCGGTAACGAGTGTGGTTCGGTAACTCTGTGCCGTGTTCCTCTTTGTTCCAGACGGAGTGAAGATGCTGTTTAACTGGAAGTCCTGTGTCACATCCAACGTGTGTCACTACCGTAATTCTGGCATATATTCCAGGAATTCATTCAGACTCAGAAGGAGTATCGCCTGCTGCACCGGGGAGGCCTGTCGAACAGTATCTGTGCAATGTATGTCTAACCCGCTCCTCTGCCACTCCCCATCCAGCCATCACAAGCAGCTCATGCTGGGGTCACAGTGATAAGTCCTGCTTCACTCTGAGTTGGCACCAGTCTGGGGGGTTTATAGTATGATAGAAAATGAGGGCTGGAAGGGACTGAGGAAGCCACATCTAGTGCAACCCCTTGCTCCAAGCAGGACCAGCCCCAACTGCATCATCCCAGCCAAGGCTTTGTCTACCCAGGACTTCAAAACTCCCAGGGATTCAGATTGCACCACCTTTCTGGGTAACCTCAGTTACCCAGAAAGGTAACTCTCAGTGCCTCACCACCCTTCTAGTAAGGAAGTTTTTCCTAGTGTTTAACCTCAACTTCCCTTGTTGCAAGGTGAGCCCTGTTTAACCTCAATTTCCCTTGTTGCAAGGTGAGCCCATTGCTCCTTGTCCTGCCATCTGCCCCCTCTGAGACCAGCCCAGCTCCATCCTCTTTGCAGCCCCCCTGCAGGGAGGTGAAGGCTGCTATTCAATCCCCCTCGGTCTTCTTTTTTAAATCAGTCCAGTTCCCTCAGCCTTTCCTCACCTGTCCTGTCCCCCAACCCACCAACCCCGCAACCATTTACATTGCCCTCCACTGGACTCTCTCCAATGTGTCCACATCCTTTCTGTAGTGGGGGCCACAGCTGGACACAGGACACCACATGTGGCCTCCCCAGTGCTGAATAGAGGGGAAGGATCACTGCCCTCCATCTGCTGGCAACGCTCCTACCAATGCAGCCCAGGATGCCAGTAGCCTTCTCGGCAGCAAGAGCACAGTTAGCTCAGAGCCTGGCAGGGACAGCCCTATTGCCCAGCAAGCAGGACAGGTTTGTGTTGGGGGAGCTGTCAGTGGCAGGTCTCACTTGCCCTGCTGGAGGTGGTGCTGAGCTCCTGGGGGGCACGTGCTACTCATGCACGTCCGGAGCTACAGCTGTGCCCCTGCCCGTAAGGTTGAGAGGCTGACAGGGGAGAAGATCTCGAATGCACACATTTCCCTTCTAACCTTGTCAAACCCGACTGTGATCTGATTGTTCCCAGTGCCACCAGTGAACACCACTCCCAATGGCTTGCAGTGTCCAGCATGCTTCAGCCTTGGATCTTATGACTGTGGCAACGACACTGTGTATTGTACCGGGGCTGAGTCCTACTGCTTTGATTTCGAAGGGTCACTTAGCAAAGGTAAGTTTTATTCACTCTGTGCTGTCATTTTGTGTTTGATCTTACAAACTCCATTGCAAGAAATGCATGCAAGAGAAAGAAAAGGAGGCAAATGTAATGGAAGTAGAGCTGAGGACTACTGAATAAAAGGGAAGGGGAACACGTCTAAGACCACGGGTGGCAGGGACCTGGCTGAAAAAGCCTCCTCATCTGTCATGGGTTTTTTCCAGTGTTAAAGCACCCGGAGGAAAACCATGCAGCCAGGGCCAGCTCTTGTGCTGGGTTGTCCACAGGCTGCCCCCAGCTGTGACCTCCACTCTGGGAAAGCAGATTAGTGGTTATAAGAAAGTAGGTGGGCACAGACAGCACGCACACAGCCCTTTCTTTCAGCAATCGCAGTCCCCACAACCAGTCCCAGCTTCCCAGGGGGCAACTGCCTCCAGGAGCCATTCCCTGTACAGAGAGCAAAGCAAACTGTCTTGCTGCTTGGAAGAAACCCCCAGAGTCTCAGCCACAAAACTCTCAACAGCCGGCATTTCATCAGACACGGATCAGCCTTTTCAGTCTCTGAAAGAGAACTCGCAAGGTTACCGGTACCAACATAATGAAGCGACCGGACTGAATAAAACCCGTGTCTGGATTTCAGTGCATGGCTATTTGCATCATCTCTATGATGTGATCATCTTGCAGCTGTATTGCTGGCCCGAGATTGCCAGATTAGACAACTCCTCGGGGTAAGGCACAAGCAGAGGGATTCCCTGGGGAGGTAAAAGTCACAAAGTTTCTTGTCCTCTGTTAGTCTTCGGAAAGTAGACAGTAAACAAGAAAATGATGCAATCTACCTACCTAATCCCAGCAACATCATCAGCCCCGCACCCTCCCTAGCCGTCGCATATCACGTAAATCAAAGTGAATTCATCCGCTCTTGAAATGACAGAAACTCTCGAGATCGTGTCAGGGGAAAAGACCAGAGAGGAGTTTACGGTGTCTTAGTGCAGGACCTGATGTGCGTCCCGGCGCTGGCGTCGGGTGTTGAATGCTGAGAGGAGGAGGGAGCGGCTGTGAGGCCTAGGAGGGGGTTGTTGCAGGGACCGGTAAGACATGCCGTGATGCTCAGTGTGTGTGTCTTGTGCCCTGCAGGGGAAGTCAGTGTGAAAGCCGCAGTAAAAGGCTGCACCTCTCTGTCTGAGTGCAAAATGTCACATGATGAGAAACAGGAACTCCTACGCATCTCCGTGGTTTTCAACAGGTTTGAATGCAAACCGGCCTCTCCTGCAGCCAGCAAGGCTTCTGGATGGACCCCGCCACACACCCTCTCTCTTCCCATCATGGTCGGGCTCATCTTGGTGAAGACAATGTCCTGATGTTCCCGAGGGCCAAGAAATGCAGGGTCGGATGTGGATGCCTCTGCCTCCTCGCTTGTGTGTGACACTTCCTGCTATGGCTTCTCTCTGCGGGTGGTTTTTTGCCCCCAGGCCTGGACGCAAGACATGGCCATGATGTGAAAGAGGATTGACACACAACGCATCACCCTGCTGTATTCCCATTTATTAGAAGCTGGGGTAAAGTTATTCCGGAAGAAATCACAAATAAAACTTTTCTCCTCTCTTAATCTTGATATTCTTACGTTGGTGTATGGTCATTTAAGCTAGACCAGCATTAATGAGTCACGTCCAGCTTAACGTCTGGCATGTGTTTAATTTGTCAGGTTTTCTGATGTATTCTGCAGCTCTTTCTCCCAGGCTGGGGTGCAGGGACACACTGTTTAATACCGCTGTGCAGTACAAGCAGCAGGAAGAGGAGATCTTGGGACAACTCTAGTTTCTAGCTGCATAAAACAGCCTCAGAAAGACCCTTTCAGTTCTGTTATGCTTTACCAGACACTGCTGGGGGCTAAAAGGGCCAGGACCAAACCCTTTGAGTTTTCTCATCAAGAAACTTAAGGAGAAGTAGGGCTGGAAAGGACCTGTAGTCCAAGCCCTGCTCGAGGCAGGATCAGCCCTGTGTGAAGCACCCCAGACAGGCAGGTGCTTGCCGAATCTGCTCCTAAAGACTTCCCAGGATGCAGATCCCACCACCCCTGTAGCATTATCTTTCCCAAAGCTCTACCGGGCTCATAGCCAGCACGTTCTTCCTCATCGCCAGCCTCGATTTCCCTTGCTGCAATTTGAGACCATCATTCCTTGTACTATCCAAGAAGGAACAGTTTATTGCCATCCTCCTTATAACTACGCTTCAGGTATTTGCAAACTATTATCAAATCCCCGCTCAATCTTTACTTCTCCAGACTAAAATGTCCCAGTTCTTCCAAGCTCTTCTCATAAGGGCTCAGCTCTGGGACTCCTTCCTCAGAGGCTCACCACAGTCGAGCCCGGACATCTTTCAGATGCACTGCAAGACCTTCCTATTGGGGCAGGCATTTAGCAAGCAAAGCTAAGCCAAGGTAGAGTTTACTAAATCTGGTTCATCTGGATATACTAGTGGCCCATTAAGTTGTTCTGTTCTCTTACACAGCCTTTTTTTTGGGAAGGGCTGCATATAAATTGCATAAATAAATGAATAATAAATAAATCAAGTTTCCTCAAGCTCTTGACATTTTTGTTGCTCTTTGTTTGACTCTTTCTAATTTGTCCATGTCTTTCTTGAAGTATGGCCACGAAACTCCAGGTGAAGTCCAGGTGGACTTTCCTAAATCGCGGTGAGACGAAGGGATTTTTGCGGGCCGCTTATGGCACGTGGAGCCAATTTCACAATGTTTTCAGGTCCCCTCAGTGTCAATTGGCCGAGGGGCTCTGACAGCTCTGCCCCTCATCACTGATTGGCCAAGAGGCCAGTCACTCATATCCAGACCCCAGCATTGCCACTGCTTTGTATCTGGTTTCTTGAAAGATGGCACCGAAGCCCTTATGCTTTGCTGACTGGCACCTTCGATGAGTCCTCCTCACTAGCTCTGCCTCATGTCGCTCTCTCTCAAACCACGTGCGCTATAGCTACAGGGATTGCTGGGCTTTATTTCTATTCTGGTAAGCCTTGGGAGGGGTGGGCAGGAGAGGGGTGCAATTGCAATCTCACAGGAAATACCATTTTTTGTGGTTTCCACAAAAATCACAAAAATGTAATTGAAGTAGGTCACTACTCACCAGGGCTGAATAGAGCAGAAGAATCACTTTCCTTGATTTGAGATCAGTGCTCCTATTAATACAGACCACTAGGCTATTATTATAGATACATATGTACAACCAGAGCGTGCCATTGGCTCATATTCACCTTACTGTCCACTACAACCCCCAGGTCCTTCTCTGCAGTACTGCAGCCTAGCCAGTCTTTTCTCAATTTGTATTTGTGCATGTGGTTGTTCTGTCCTAAGGGCAGGGTTTTGCATTTGTTCTTATTGATTTTCATTTGATTCATTTCAGATCATTTTTCCAATCTATCAAAGTCCTTCTGAATTATATCCTGCAGGGTGTCTGCAAGTCCACCTATCCCGGTCTCATCTGCAAAACTGCTACACGTACACTCAGTCCCATCATCCAAAACATTAATGATCATAAACAATACCGGATCCAGGGCAGACCCCTGGGGAGCCCCACTTTATACCTCCTCCCAACCAGACATCGAGCCATTGATGACAACTCATTGGGCATGTGATTTAGCCAGTTGTATATCTGCATTTCTGTGCTTTCAACTAGTCTGTAATGTCTTGAGCTTACTAATGAGAATGTCATGGGAGACTATGTCAAAGTCTTGCTAAAATGAAGCTATATAACATCAAATTAAATGACATCAGGTCAAACTTCATTGCAGAACAACAAGGAAGTTTTTTTTTTTGCCTCCCTACCTACCATCTGACACCTTCAGGGAAGGAATTCTACCTGATCAACACATCAAAGAGCTACTCAACACAGCTCACAAAGACACTGTCAGGGCCCCAGAGGGACGGCCTTCCATCTTCTGCTCCTCTGTTCAAAAATTAAGTTTATTTCTGACCTATGGGGACTTTTACCATCTTGTACCATCTACACATTTCCCAGAGCCTGACAAAAGGACTTTGATTCTCTAAAGCTTGCAGAAAGGGACAATTTTCTTGCCATTTTCCAGTTGGTCTAATAAAAGGTATCATTTTGGAACCAAGAGTTCTAGATTTTTGTATGTCATTAGGTCAAGCTGCCACTTGGAAAAAAATGACCTTCAAGGTTTGAAAGCAAAGAAAACTTTATTGGGAACAATAGGGGGATGGCGCTGAATGAACTTAATTAACCAGTACCAATAATTAATGAATCAATGTTATTAGGTAAATGGTCCCAGGTATCTTGCAATCAGGCCTTATGGTACAGGTGATATCTTTTATTAAACCAGCTAGATTTTTACAATAAAACTTCTTTAATTGCAAGCTTTCAGGCACAAACACCCTTCGTCAGGCATTAGGAGAAAAGATAGTAAAAATTCTCCTGGATAGAAGGTGCTGTAAAATCTCCTGCTTGGAACAGTTCATTTTATATGCAAGATAGGTTCAGAGAAAAGTTGGAATAGTCTGGTTTATTATTTTTATTTTATTGTCATTTTATTATTTCATTGTCCTTAAAGTCCAAACACATCTGTATTTCATATCAAATTTCTCCATCTGTCTCCCAACTGACATGGAAATGAAGCCTGGCATCCCTTCGCTCATCAACAGAGACTGGTGGAGGCCTCCCTCCTCTCCAGGACTTATATCCGTCTGCAGCACTCAGCTGCTCTTCCCCTTCAGATGCCAACAGGGAACTCCGCACTTTCCAGGGCATCAGGCCCCAGCTCTTACGTTGTGATGCCACCCAAACCTGCCCTTGTCTTCTGCTGCCTCACTCCATGCTGGCCATGTGGACAGCTAGAAGGGGGACACACAGTGATGGCTCTCAGATAGAAATAGCCAGTCCTTTGCACACTGTGTACTATTGGTGTTTAAAATGATAATAAGGGAATATATGGTAGATCCTTCCATCTATTTCAATTTGTAACCTGAATGCTGTCCTCATTACACCACTGCATTACCAAGGCACAGGAAGAGGAATGCCATATTCCCCAAGGCAGCCTCTGGTTTGGGCTGCTTCACATCATGGTGCAAAGCTTTCGACTGCCAGCCTGCAATGAATTCATGGCATAATAATAACAACCTGAGGTCATGTGGGAAGGAAAGAATGCATAACCACCTGCGTGTTGTCTTGCAGTACCTGCAAGGCAAAGGAAAGCCTGCCTCTATGTCCCTGTGCATGGGGATGCTTCCTGGTGGGATGGGTTGGAGGCCAAAATGGGAGAAAGAGGCTTGGAAGAAGTGGGAAAGCTGCCTGGAGTTGGGGGTGCTTAGCAAAGTGGCCAGGCTGGTGGGTGGGTAGGAGAGGCCTGGGTTAAGGGGAGGCTGTGTGGTTGCTGGGGTGGGCATGAAGGGCGTACCTGGCTGGAGGTGCAGAGGGCACTTGGTGCAGGGTGGCTGAGCTGGGGGCAGTGGGACCGAGACTGGGGACTGGCAGGACTATGGGCCAAGGCCCAGCCAGGTGTAAGACATCCTCCTGAGCAACACAGCAAGGACCCTTTTGTAGATGTAAGACTGAAGGTGGAAGCAGGGATATAACCTGCTCAGGACAAAACCTGCACCCACTGAAAGGATGTCTGCTCAAGCGACTGCCCCCCCATCCCACACCACCTCCCTGAACCTGCCCCCCAAACTGGACTTTCTCCCTGTGGTCGCAAGTAGACACGATGCCTTGGGAGGCAGCATCCGGCACAGGAAGAGCCAAGACCTTGGCAAGCCATTTTTATTCCAGAGCAGAAAGCAGCAGAGTCCCACTCTCCCCAGCTCACAGCAGAGCACAACGGCTCGTGGACACCCAACAGACGTTGAGATCTGCCCTGCAAGCTGAGGACCTGGTGCTGCCCCAGACAGGCCTCTCTCCCCCAACGTACAGTGCCCCTCTGTCACAGCCAGCACAGGGGAGGGGGCAGGTGAGCTGCATGGATCAAGTGGGAGAAAAGGGAGAGAGGAGGAATTGCCAGGATTTGGGGGTGACCATGGGCCTGATGACATTAATGTAAGGCAAGAAACAATTCCCTGGAGACACTAGGTGAATCATTCACAGCCCCTACACCACTGCAATGGGGGTGTTGCAGAGGGATCTCCACTGCCCCAAAGGATGTTTTCTCTGCACAAATCATTGCCCCTCTGCTCCCTTTTTCCAGATGGGATCTCACCCTGGAGCCAGTGCAACCTACAGGAACCCAATATTTGGAAGACAAAGCCCCTACAGGAAGTCACACTTTCCAGGGTCAAGGATGCACAGAGTCATTCTCTACTGTCTCTGCATTGGGATCCCAGCCAGGATGCAGGGATGCTGCCAGGGCTGTGCCTGCACCAGTGGCATTGGGGCCAAATCAAGCAAGAATCATGGTCCAATCCCCCAGAACCACCTGGCCCACAACCGGTGCGAGATGCCTAATGCAATCTCATCGCCCCATTAACAGAGGTGCTGGAGAATCCTCAGGAGACTCAGTCTTTCCTCCCTAGGCTGCACAGGAGATGCACCCTGCTCCTGGTGATCCTGTAGGTTGGTTCCCTGGACTAAGACCCCATTCCCAAGCCTCCCTCCTCGGTCTTCATCCATCCAACACCCAGCCAGACAGACACACACCCCAACTTCCCATCCCCTCCGGTCTGTCACCGTCTCACAGACCCTGCACCCACTGCCCACAATTATACCCACAGCAAACTCCACCCCTCCACACACACAGACCCATAGGTGCAGATCCCTTCTTTCTGATTGCTCCCACACTCCTGTCAATCACTTGAGTGTCCAATGAATTGGCCGGCGACAGTGCCAGTCATACATCAGTCATCCTGATAACCAATCAGCTATCAAACCACCTCAGAAGGGGAGCAGCATCCCATTGCTACAATGTGCACCACTGCAGGGTCTTTACTGAGCTTGCTCCACTCAGTGAAATAAGTCGCAACACCTTTGGAGTCAAGAGTTCACTAAGTCCAGAAATTTCCCTCCTGACTCCTAGTCAAAGCAAGTGTTGCCTCCACTAGCAGGTGTTCGATCCCCAATACCACTGGGGGAGTCAAGGCCAAAAACGGGCTGGCACATAGAGTCATAGATTCATAGATATTAGGGTCAGAAGGGACCTCAATGGATCATCGAATCTGACCCCCTGCCCCAGGCAGGAAAAGTGCTGGGGTCAGATGACCGCAGCCAGGTGCTTGTCCTGTCTCCTCTTGAAGACCCCCAGGGTATGGGTGAGCACCACTGCCCTTGGAGCCCGTTCCAGATTCTGGCAGCCCTCACCATGAAGAAGTTCTTCCTACTGTCCAACCTAAATCTGAGTTTATAGGCAGCCACAAGATATCCCCTCAGCCTTCTCTTGCGGAGGCTGAAAAGGTCCAGGTCCCTCAGCCTTTCCTCATAGGGCCTTCCCTGCAGGCCTATAACCATACGAGTGGCCTCCTCTGGACCTTCTCGAGGTAGTCCACTTCCTT